TGCTCAAACTTCACATGTGTGCTAACAGTCCAGCCGTTTAGACATCTACGTGACGGTTTTGAGAATTCTTCAAATGCCGTTGGTATGGCAACACGGTTTTCTCATAACTTCAGTGAAAATACTCCAAACAGCCCAAAACTTCCCAGGTCTGGTAACGATGCAGCCATCAACGCATCTAATCGTATTATGGTGTGTCATCAAATGCCGTTGCCATGGCGACAGATCACTCGCCATGAAACAGGATGTCGCTGTAAGTCCAATGGACACGGTCCAGTCGTCCCCCAATCTTCACTTGTATATCACCGGTCCATGCCTCAAGAGCTCTACGCCAAATCTGAGATCTCACCATATGCCGTTTCCATGGAAACACATCCCTCGCCATAAAACATGATGTCGCTATAACTCCTATGAAAATGTTCAAAAAGTGCTCAAGTGTGCTAACAGTCCAGCCTTGAAGACACCTACGGGACGATTTTGAGATTTCTTCAATTGCCGTTACCATAGCAACAAAATGCTCGCCTGGAAACACGGTTTTCTCATAACTTCAGTGAAAATACTCCAAACAGCCCAAGACTTTACAGGTTTGGTAACGATGCAGCCATCAACGCATCTAAGCGTATTATGGGGTGTCATCAAATGCCGTTGCCATGGCGACAGATCATTCGCCATCAAGTTAGTTCAGAAGTTTGCGGTTCAAATATTCTGCTGCTTTTCCAAGCCTTTTTACTTTATTTTCTTCTCTCATCACACATTCAAGCACCCTGTATTCATGTATCATTTCAATCTAAATTCTTCACTTTCTTCTTACACATTTCATTTTAATATAAATTCTTCACTTTCTTCTTACACATTTCATTTTAATATAAATTCTTCGCTTTCTTCTTACACATTTCATTTTAATCTAAATGATTCACTTTCTTCTTACACATTACATTTCAGCATAGCAGTTTAGCGTCAGCTTTTCAGCATAAAGCATTCCCACTAGCAATTTCTTCAGGAATTGCATTCTCTAGTTATTATTATTATTACCTCCCGCACAAGCTCCGGCTCCTTCCCCCCCCAGAGAGGTCCCCAAAGCCAGCTTCTGTCGCCCGGGTCTGGTCCGTCGAGACCCTCTGCTTTCACTGCCGCCCTTCTGGCAGCGCCCGACCCCATCGCTGTTTCCCGTAGGTGGTGGGGTGGTGGACGGAGAAGCGGAGGTGTTGCCCACGTTGCCTTTTTAGCTGTGCAAGCCCGGCCACCAGACGCTCGCCGACGAGTCCTCCTGCTGGGCCTGGCTCCAGAAGGGGACCCCGGGATTCCTCCGGGCCGGGTATCCTCACTTCTTGGTTTTTCTTTCATGAGGTCTTTTGAACCAATCTTAGTCTGGCCCCTTGCCTGAGACCAATTTGCCATGGGAGACCCTACCAGGAACACAAGGTTCCAGACAACACAGCCCCCAGGTTCATCAGGGCACACAAACCTCTCTACCACGGTAAGGTGCTGGTTCTTCAGAGAGGTGATGCAGCTGTGCGGCCATGAAAACCCATGAAGCTCCCACAGTTCTGGTGCTGATATCAATGCCAGAGCTGGAACTCTGCAGTTATTGAGTGAGCAGAGCTTTGGCCACTTTACCCACTATGCGCCTCAGCACTCGGCGACCCTGCTCTGGAACTTTACGTGGTCTGCCACTTCCTGGCTGAGTTGCTGTGGTTCCTAAATGTTTCCATTTAGAACGACACCATTCTTTCACAAATGTTTGTAAAGGCACACTGCATGGCTAGGTGCTTGATAGTATACACCTATGGCAATGGGACTGACTGAAACACCTGAATTCAATGATTAAGAAGAGTGTCCCAATACCTTTTGTCTATATAGTGCAGGGGTCAGCAACCTTTTTGATTTGAACATATCCTCATATCCTTATGAAAACATTCACACCTGAGTTGAAATCACTAATCACCAATGATGATTAAGCACCAAACTTCAGCAATAAACAGCAAATGTCAAAACGGTGTGAATTAAATGTAACAAACAGAAACATGAGCACCATGTATGCTCCCATCCATATGAAAGCATCCACATCCGATTTATCCCACAACAGGCAGGCAAGTTGAGTTCTCTGACGTGCTCTGGAACTTTAATTGATTAAAAAAGAGCAGCGTACAGCTTCACAGGGACTAAGACTAAGTTAACACCAAGCGGCAAACTCTGGGGCAAAGCCGTGAAGCCAATAAGGAAGTGCCACAAACTGCAGTTCATCTAGTGGCTGGTAGTAGGAGACTGCAGAAGGGAGCAATTAAAATTAACCCCCATGTTAAAAGGCCAAACTTTAGAGCAGAAATAAACATGTTTCCAGCGTGGTTCAAATAACCATATTCTCTATAGTTAGATTCCCACTTCATGACAACTGTGAGGGGGGTGAATTGTTTCGCAACTAATTTGTTTATGTTATATTAAGCCTTAAAGTGATGCATACATTAGGGCGGGGTCACCTTGATTGACAGGTATGTCCAGTGTCTGCTGTTGTTAGCTTCCTGTCTCTCTGCTAGCAGCTCCGTGATGCTACAGGGGCTCAGCCTGCTCAACTCATCCGGGGAACATAACTTGAACTCGGCCGTGTTTGTTGTGCTGGTGCCTTGTGGACATTCTTCATGCTTATATCAGACTATTGTGACTCGCTCTGCGGTTAAAACAGACGGTGCATGATTAGCTTTAAATCTATAGATGAATTCAGACATGGTAGTAAAACGAACACCATTTATATGTGTTTCTTGGAAGTTTTATTTCCATTAGAGTGAAAGAAAACTTGGAAGCAAAATAGACCAAAATAACAAGTAGGCTACATGAAAAAACGATCTTTTTGCCTGTAATGTCCTTAAACAGTAACTTCTTCATGTTGATTGTTGGCTGCTCATTTAATAACTACTAAATGAGCAGCTATTAATGTACTAGTTTGTTGTCTGCTCTTGTGCTTAGTGAACACTAAAGAAGACCATTGTCTTAGCTGATTATACCTGTCAATCTTTGGTTGCCATCAGTGGCAACCAGTTTTTAACATAAAGAAACAAGCAGGGTGCGAACTGGAGGGGAGCAGGGGGAGCTATAGCTCCCCTAGTGGTGACATGAGCTCCCCTGGGAACATGGTTTGTGAAATGTGGGGGGAGCTCTCTAAAATATTGATATGATGACCAAATAAATTCCATTTTGGGCATGTTTTTTTTTTCAAAGGTGTAAAATAAGTGAAATAAAATTATATTTAGAGTTTATGATTCATGAAAAAAGTGTAGCCTGCTTGCACACTGCCCGCAGCTCCACCCACTACCCACTCACTCGCAAGTTCGTTTAGTTAGCACTGCATGTTTACCAGGCATTGTTGCTGCTGCTGACATGTCGAAAAGAAAAAAACAACTTACCTTGGGCAATTTCCTTAAAAAGACGGCCAAACAACCTGATCAAGAAGACCAACCGAATGTAGCTGGTGGTAGCACATCGTACGTTGTGACTGCTGCTACAACAGAACCGAGAGAGGAGGGAGCTAACGTCAATGCTAGTGCTAACTTGACAGCTAACGTTACCTTGGGGGCTGAACAGACACAAGAAGACGAGCCGTTGTGTTGTGTGTGTGGCGTCGCGTCTCTCCAGGCAGTGAGAGGGTTGTGTTGTGCTATAGCTGTATTATTAATATTAATATTGTTCATGGTTGGTGCCGCTGGCTGCTCTTATCGCGTGTGTTCGGCTCTGTGTAGGCTACAGCCATAATAGGCTATAGCCCATGTGAAACAATGTAGCCTGTTTTTGAGTTATTTTAAGTTGATTTAATTAAACAGTCAAACATTACATTGGTGGTCCGTGGATTATTTATTATCAAGTTGATAGAAGTTTGCGTTTGTATACATGCTCGGGAAATCTGTTGACATGAACATGATCCATCGGGACGTTTCATGTAAATGTAGACCTGTGGCACCACCCCGTGTGCAACAGATGTTCTCTTTATAATAGGCCTATGTCTGTGCTGTTGCTATTAATGCACGGTTCAGCATTTCCCCCCCCCCCCCGCGAAAAAAAAAAAAAATCCCGGCTCCCCCGGAGACCGTGGTATAGTTCGCACACTGGAAACAAGGACAGCAAACAGCTAAATGTGCACCCCAAAATAGATAAATGTTAATTATTTGTTGTATTAAGAGTGATATTTAATTATTGTTGTGACCAGTCGGAACCTGATACTTAAGTTGCACGTGCATTGGTGTGATTACGGAGCCAGAAGCCGATGCACGTTTACTCGCGTGCGCCGTGTGCCGTGTGTTTGTTTTACAAAAAAATGGCAAACCAAATTAAGTTGTTTGACTGTGGGGTAAAAGGTTCGGCCAACCCGTCAACATCTCAAACTAATGTTCACAGGGATTCAACTGATAAAGCAAAAGGTGAACCCGAACGAAAAGTTCACACCTATGGGTCAGATGCATGTGTTTATTTGTAATGTGTGTGTGTATACAATGGAGCGGACAACTGAATTTCCTCTTGGGGTTTAATAAAGAATCCTCTTTAAAATAAAATAACTCCAAATGTAAGTTGATGGGCAAAAATATGTATTGGCCCAGTCATCACTTGACTGGAACCGAAGTTGCAAAACCACAGTTTGGGCACTATCAAAATGTGCCTGAACACCCGGGGCACGTCATGGGGGCCTTGCTAACAACCACAGTATACTACAACACAGCGAACATGCCTAGTAACATTTCACGAAAATAAAAATATAGGTAAAGTAAATTTAAGTATTTCACTGGTTATGACATTTGGATAAAAATAAATGAGAACAAATGCAACAATTAGTATACTTTAAACGTAAGATGTAGTCAAGTCTTGAAGATTTCAAAGGTTTTACTGTCTGTGTGAACTTTGATAAACTATTGATATTACCAAATTATTTATCCATTTCAAATCATTCAGAAACAATGTAGGTTCATAAAGAAACCATAAGCCATGTCATTTATATTGCCAAAATGTAGCCTTGGCCTTACCTGAGAAACATTCCTAGTTTGCAGGCGAGCAGAAAGCCCGCCACAGAGAGCCTCTTCTTCCTCATGTTGGTCCGGAGGGGCGAACCTCTGCTCTCCTCTCGGCTCGAGGCTTTCAGCACCACGAATAGAGCTCTAGCTCCAGCTGTTCTCAAACAACACGCGGAGGGCAACTGATACAAAACATACCATAGTAACAAGAACTCTCCAAACTCAATGTGTTCGGTTAACTAGTACGAAAACAGCAGTGAAGCTAGGCATTCTTCAGAACACATTTAACTGGAGAAGAGAATGCGGACGCCAGCTGTTCACGCGCTGCTCTGGGCTCGCTGTGTGCCCTCAGAGCGCGGGGACAGAGGTCCGCCCGCCACTCCGGTTCGGCATGACTGGCAGACAGCTCAACCAATCGGCTCCAGTGTTGTTACAGTTCCAGCTGAATCTCATCTGAAATTAAAAGCCCAGCGAGCTGCATCAAATGTAACACCCACCCATGCATTATTATGCCCTTTTGCTGTGTGTGTGTGTGTGTGTGTGTGTGTGTGTGTGTTTGTGCGCGTGCGTGCGTGTGTCCCATTATAGCTCAGCATCCTGCCATCCTCCCCGTTTTCTTTCCCTTTTTCTTCTCCTCTCTGTTTCTTTCTCCATCTGTCTCCTGCTCTACGTTATTCTGCTCTGTTAGGCAGGATCGCATAGAGTCGCATGTGGTTGTGATTCCCGGCTGTAAATTAGCCTATGATGATGACAGTTTGCCATATGTGGCCAAAGTTGGCGTGGTAGAGTGGAGATGCTGATTAAAGTTCTGATTTACATCAAGAGCAGCCTGAGGCAAGAATGAATAGCATCCAGTCCTCACTAGAGTGTCCATGTGCTGGCTCTGTTCCAGCACTTTCATATGTATTACACTATGACAAAGTGTTGACTTTAAACCGTAAGGATTTTGACATTTATATTAGGTGAACAAGGTGAGGCCCAATGTGATTAAACCCCCCTTGGAAGTATTTATATTAAGAGCTACAATTTGTACACACTTAATCAGTTATAATTTTAATCAGCAGCTCCTAAATTGTTTATAGGGTCAAAATAAGTAAACATACACATAACAGACTTTTTATAGGAGCAGTTTTACTCTACATCTGTATAATTTCCTGAAAAAATTACACAAAAGCTGATGTCATGTCACGAGTAATGTGATACAATACAATTGTAATAGTTGTTTATACAAATACAATCAAAATAAAGTTTCTACATATATTATGTGCAATAAAGTTTGTAAATCCGTGTTTACACTTCTGTTTAATATTATTTGAAGATATTTTTGATTCCTAAAACATGTTGAATGAAGCATTTATCGAGAACGAATTTCCACGATATATTTGTGTGAGCTAATCGGGGGGTTATGTGTACATGTATAATCTGTTAATGTGAAACACCTTCAACAAATGCAAAAAAAATACCTGAAAAAAAGAAATCACGCAAATACAAAAAAAATAATAATATCAAATATATTTACATCTCTTTCTTAAACTCTAAGCACTGATTATTGAGACAAACTTTCTGTTTGTATTACTGGGCTATTTTCAAATAGCACAGGATGGCCTGACACTAACTTCAGGGTTAACTCTGAGTTAGTGAGGTAACTTGAGGGTTAACTCTGAGTTCTATTTGTTAAGAACCTTACAGACACTTGGACTCAAACGCACGACTCAAAAGAGAGTTTGTTCAAAAAAAGTATTTACTTTGTAAAAGTATAAAGTTCAAACAAAAAATCACTCCTGAGAGGCAAAACATAGTAAAGCAAATTACAAACTAAATACAATTGACTATGGTCACAAAATACATTAATCTCTTGGCGAGACAAGCTGGCTCTCTAAATGGCACAAGGCACAAGACGAACTGGCACAGGACAAAGGGAGACAGGACTATTTATACATGAGGTAAGGGGGAACAGGTGGAAACAATCAGGGGCGGGGCAGACGCTGACGATGGCGGGAAAACACACAAAGGGAGGAAGTAAGGGGGCCTGAAATGAGAGACAAGAGGTAAGTACAAAATAAAATAGGAAGTGCAATGACAAGACTAGACAGGTGAACAAAAAATACTTGACTAAACATAAATCTAACCTGGGCTATGAACTAAATGTGAAACAATAACATGAACCTGATTAACATGACAAACAATTTAGCAGACATGACGGGATGTTACACTATTTCGTCCCTACTGACCGCCAGAGGCGGTGCTTTAAGCACTGGATATGTCCATCGCGCGCATGCGCAGCTCGAGCCAATAACAACAAAGTCACCTGTGACCCACCTGCGCGAGGGTACCGTGGCTACATTTTTGTAGCCTACAGCATTCAGGTTTGAATGTTTGATCTGAGGGATTGCTCTGCAAGCAGCTGGCCGCGTGCAGCTTCGTGACTGACAGTCGGAGCTACGGGTCGTTAACGCGTCCTCCAGGAGCTGTGGCCGGCTGTGCGCTGTGCAGAGCCTCGACAGACAGGTTGGTGTCAGCTTGTTGCTGGTGATGGCTGTGTCCCCGCACCCTCTCCCAGCCAAGTTGTCCTGATTGCTGTCTTATTTTTTGTTTGGCTTAGACTTTCTGGTGACGACAGTGTTCCCGCTTCCTCTCCCATAAAGTTGCCCTTATGCTCTTTTGAAAGTTCTACTTGTGGCGTTGTGCCCGAGCTATCATTAGCATTTGAGTCCCAGCTTTGGCTGTGTCCCTCATTCAATTTAGTATGGAAAGCCCAGAGTGTCATATTTTAAACCCGTTTTTCGTTTAGATGCAGAGAGTAAGGTAAGTACTTTCTATTTCTTAGAAGCTATTATCTGGTCTTAACATTTGTGTTCTGACTTGGTCGCTTGATTGTTAGCAGCAGCCGCTTGGCTAACACCTTGCTGTTAAGCTTAACTATTAACTCAGCCGGTGAGGGCAGTGCTCCCGCTCCCGTTAACATAGGGTTTGATTGCAGTAGCGCTAGATCGTTGTATTACTGCTCCTAGTACTAGACTCCTAGCACTAGGATGATATGCAGAGAACATCTTCACTGCGGGTGCTGTGTGCTCCGCATGTGCGGTTACTACTGTAACCATGGCCTACGGTTCTATGCGGGCTGTTCTCTTCCTTAGAAGCTAATTATCTGGTCTTAACATTGTGTTCTGACTTGGTTGCTTGATTGCTAACACCTTGCATGTACTGTTAAGCTTAATTATTTAACTCAGCCGGTGAGGGCAGTGCTCTTGCTCCCGCTCCCGGTAAACGCATGGTATGGTTGCAGTAGTGCAACTCCTAGCACTAGGACGATATGCAGAGAACAATCTTCACTGTGTGTGCTGTGTGCTCTGCATGTGTGTCCATTAAGGAGGATTTCATCCTCCCAATATTATATTATCTAGTGGGCAGCCGTTTGGCTGACACTTTTAGGCACCGGCCACAGTTACTACTGTAACTAAGGTTCTAAGCCGTAAGTACTGGCCATAATTACTACTGTAACTACGGTTCCAAGCCGTGTAAGTACCTGCCTTGGCCGCCTCTGGCGGTCAGTGGGGACGAAATGTGAGCATCTGAGGGAGGTTCTCACGGTAAACGCCTGCATGAGCTGTAGCTGCATGCCTCGGGCGCTCAGAGTGGCGAGAATCACTGAGGTGGAACGTCTGGCAGCAGCCAACAGACACCTCTCCTTGTCACATCCTCCTCCAGATCAATTCGGCCGTTCCCGGCGACTTGAGGGAGCAATGGCTATGTGTCCTCCCCCCAATAGAAGGACTAGAAACAGGCTGTCCTCTAAAGTGGATCGGCTAGCTGCCGATAGGGGCATGATGAAGTCGCCTCTTGGCCCTTCAGCCTGGGCCCGGTGTAGGGGCTGCTAGCGGGCCGCCAGCAACACACAGGGCCTATCTCCTAGTGGGCGTGCCCATGGGCGCCATCCCATCCCGCCAGGAGACCATCACCATAGGTGCATGTCTCTCAGGGTGGGGTGCAGTGCGGCAGGGCAGGACCGTTCAGGGTCAGCGGTCTGCCCAGGAGAGTGCGCGCCAGGTCATCGTGCTAGAGCTTCGGGCTGTGCAGCTTGCACTCACGCACTTTCTACCCCAACTGGGGGGCAAGAATGTGCGTGTTCCTTGGGGACAGCATGTATGTTGTTGCTTAGACAACAGTCCCTTCTAGATAGTGGACGTTCTCCTCCGAATTTATGTGGCTGCGATTTCTGCCCGACATGTTCGGGTCGACGGCGCCACAGCGGGGTGCCACAGGTCGGTGTCCCTCTTTATGAGAGGGGCTTTACGGCAGCGTCCCCCTAGCACCCCGAGGGCTCCGGCTTGGGATCTGCCCCTGCTGCCGGATGCCCTATCATCTCCTCCCTTTGAGCCCCTGGCCCAGGTGGGACTTAGGTGGCTGCCCACGAAGGCAGCATTTCTGCTTGCCATAGCCTCAGGGAAGCGAGTCGGGGAGTTGCATGTCCTCTCCATAAACAATACATGCCCGAGGTGGGACTCTCAGGCGTTGCCCTTTGGGCAAATGTGGCATTCCTGCCCAGGGTCCTTCCACAAACTCACTTCAATCAGCCTGCCCAGCTGGCACGCTTTGACATTCAGGAGTATGGCACGTCGAAGTTGCTGTGCCCTGGGGGTGCCCAAAGGGCGTATATCAAGGAGCAACTCTTGATTTTGCCCTGGCGGCACTAAAGGAGGTTATGCCCTCTAACCGGTGGCTGCCCCACTGGGTTGTCGATACCATCTCACAGGCTTACGGGGCCAGTGGCCGCCCCCTGCCATCAGGCTGAAATGCCACTCTACAAGGAGCATCTCAACATCTTGGGCTGCCCTGAGGGTGGTGCCCCTGGAGACCATCTGCGCCGCGGCGTTGTGGGCATCTTCTGGCACATTCTCCAGTTGTCATCAGGTCAATGTCGCCACTCCCCATTCTTTGGGCGTGGTCCTTTTGCCGAGCTCCGCTGTTTCCAGTGGTGAGCAAGGGCTTGGATTCTTCATGACATTGTTGGTATAAGTCATCCAGTGCTTAAAGCACCGCCTCTGGCGGTCAGTAGGGACGAAATAGAACGATAGTTACGGCTGTAACTACGGTTCTATGAGTCCCGGATGACCGCTAGAGTTCACTGTCACTCAGAATTCTTGTGTGCTCGCGAGAAGATTCTGGGAACAGATCCTCTGACGACACCGGCTGATATAGCCGGTGTCACGTGACTTTGTTGTTATTGATACTCGAGCTGCGCATGCGCGCGATGGACATATCCAGTGCTTAAAGCACCGCCTCTGGCGGTTATCCGGGACTCATAACTATCGTTTCCGGTTCCATGACC